GAGANNNAGAGGGAGAGAGAGGAAAAGAGAGAATTGCTTCCGTGTGGTGAGAGAAATAATTAAAATACGCGATGCGACGTGAGCGGGTATTGCCTCTTAACTTCCGTGACACGATGGGACGTGAGCGGGCATTGCTTCTTAACTTCCGTGGCATCGCAATGTTTGATAGCGGGCAAGGTTATAGTTATCGAGGGAAGTCACATTACCATCAATAAGTAATTTCGTCTTGACCCCCGCGGTACCGCGATGTCGTAGCAGGAAGTATCAAACTGATGATTTTTTCTCTTCTATAGCGGTGAAATATAATGCGTTATGGTACTCCCAGTGTCCTATCCGTGTCACCCTCTCCTCTATTCCGGTCGTCTCCCCACTAGTTCGGCGACTAGGCGATCAATACATCACTGAGTATCAACCAATTTTCCGTCCTGAGTGTCAGCCAAAGTTCGTTCTTCTTCCTTTTCATGGTGAACTACGACTTGCCATATCCCATGATTCTTTTCGGTTTTTACGGTTTTTCCGTCCGGTTACGGTGGTTCATGTTGTCGTCACTGGTTTTCTTCCGGAATTTCCAAATAAATTCCATATCTTTTACACTAAAATCCATCGAAAATGCACAATTTTATGATTTTTGCAGCGTTATTGGTGAGAAATGCATAATTTGTCTGCAAGAGTTGTTGCCGATTTTCTCTCATATTTTATGAATTTTACTTCAGATTTTGGCTTTTAATTATAATCTTAGCATTTATTGATCATATTTATTAGACTTCAATTCTTCGGTATTTTACTTCTGCATGAAGTTATACTTAACTTGCATCCGAGAAAATATCCCCGAGGATCTTTAACGTAGTCATAGAATCAGTGAGTAGCCTGCAATAGTATAGATGGATGAAGAGGATTAGGCGATGATACGGCAGTGAGAGTGCATTCACGAGGATGAAAAGTATGTGAGAGAGTGTGCTGATGTGCATGTTGTGAGCTGAATGTCCTGTTAGTTATAAATGTCAGGTTGCAAAAAAATGAAAAAATGCTCATTTAAGTTTTGATTTTAAATAGTGAGCGGGAAACTTCGAATGTCTTCACCTTTCATTTATATTCTGTTCATTTCAAAAATGAACTGGGAGAAGGAAAAAGAGAGTGAATGACATGGATGAAATAGCAGAAGAGAGGAAGTAAACAGTGAGGTGACAGATAGAAAATAAGGAATAATCAGCTTGAATATTTTGTTTCATCTTTGATTCATGGGCGAACAAATGCAGGCTGCTAATCTAGGATTTGTCGCTTAAAGACATTACTAAAACAGTTCAAGTGATCTGGAGATAACTCAAAGTGTTTTGCTTGAGTTAAGTTGTACGCTCCCAAGCATTTGTTATTAGAATTTATTTTACCTTTTGTAAATCTACACAAAATTTACTTTGTTTTGGGAGTATCTGTTCAAATGCATGTCCTCTTCGGCAACTTCTTTGTTACAATTGCACATATGGTCATTTGGAATATGTAAATAGATGACAAAATCATGACTCTAATGCGTGACTTATTTTGTCTTTGATTGATAAATCGCTTTGACGAACTTGTCTAGCATATTAATCAAGAAATATTTTGGATATTTGTTTTGCTACGCTTAAAATTTCGTTTTATTTCTTCGCTATGCAATAATATTTAGGAGAACTTCTTTTGAGGATTCCAACAAACTGACCTCTTTCTTTTTGCTTCTTAAAATGAAATAAAAACAAAGTAATATATTTCTTCTCATTACGTGGTGTGGTATATTTTCATAGTTTGTGAGGAATTCATTTTTCAGCCACCAGTTGCTAGTTCATCTTTCGATTTCTTTCGTGAATTTTTGCTAATTATTGTCTACAATGGCCCGTACCAAGCAGACTGCTCGTAAGTCCACTGGAGGTTAGCTATTTTTATCCAACTCACAGATTTTCAAATTCAACAACTTAATGTAGTCTATTTCCAAAATTGTTTATTCAATTCGTAAAATTGTCTAGATTTGGTAAAATTTCGTCCCTTAAACCCATATTCATGAATTCAAGTTGAAGTGTATGTAATGAGCGATCTTTGTAGGTAAAGCGCCGCGTAAACAGCTGGCTACTAAAGCAGCACGCAAATCCGCCCCATCCACTGGAGGTGTTAAGAAGCCTCATCGCTATCGTCCAGGTACCGTTGCGCTTCGTGAAATTCGTCGCTACCAGAAATCCACCGAACTCCTGATTCGAAAACTTCCATTTCAACGCTTAGTGCGTGAAATCGCTCAGGACTTTAAAACCGATCTGCGTTTCCAGTCGGCTGCTATTGGCGCCCTGCAGGTGAGTTAGCATCTGTTTTCACTTCCCAATATTTCTGATATTATTGTTAGAAGTACAACTAAATGCGAAGTTATATTTAATAATAAAGGTTGCGTTAATGAATACTATTATCATGTCATAATTTTGAAAAAAGCAACTACAGTTATTTACGTACGGTTATACTCAATCTCCAGAAATTCAAAATCGGAGGGATACCTGAAACTTTGGTCATAACAAATGTCTTGTTTGTCTGTAACTGCATGGTGTAATTCTCCTTCATAAGTTTTATTGCCAAAATTCTTTCAATTAAGCTCAAATATTTTTTTTCTAAAAAGATGCAATTAATTTGTGTATGAGTGGAATATTGCTTCTATTTTGCCACTTAGACAACTGTGTTATTTCAGGAGGCCAGTGAAGCCTATCTGGTTGGTCTTTTCGAAGATACCAATCTATGCGCAATTCATGCCAAGCGTGTTACAATCATGCCAAAAGACATTCAGCTGGCTCGTCGTATCCGTGGTGAACGCGCCTAAGAAAATTTTATTACGATCATGTATAATTTATCATTCACCACCAATCCAAATGTGTTGTAACTTTTGATTTTTTTGATACTGCCTCAAACAGTTAAACACACGACGTTTCTAATTGTAAAAAAAAAGTCACATATAATTCTATAGTATTTCCCTGCTACATTCTGATATACTATTATTATGTTTCCGATTCCCTACTGAAACTAACTTAATTTGTTCGCCTTTCACCAAATTTTTTGTAGAAATTAAATTGTCTTAAATCTTTAGTTTACTTTTTTTCTTTACTTAAAGATTTTTGGGATCCGAGAAAAACATTCGGTCTTTTTTTTTTTTT